TGTGAATGTTTTCTGACCAAATCTTGGCAAAGATTATGCTTGCTTGTCTTTAAATACCCTCTAACAATAAAGCACAGCATGCAGTGGCAATTGCTGTTTGCACGCTGCATCCCCTGTGTCGTGGTGATTTCGTGACCCTTACCCAGGGACCCCAATGCACTAGACGTTGACACAATACCACTTGCCCTGGGGGCCTCTCCCCTTCAGTACCATTCCCCCAGCCCCCTGACCTGGGTCCTCACCTTCGTACTGTTTTCCCAGCATGCAGGGGAGCAGGCAGACCCAGAGCCTCAGGAACCCTCCGCTCACCATGGTCCTCCCGGGTGCTCAGCCACCCACCCTGGATGCCTTACAGTCCTGGAGACCGACCTCAGCCTCTGTCTCCTCCCATCGCCCCCACTTCAGCCTCTGCCCTGTAGCTTCCCCTTTCCTCGGCCCAAGTCTTCTCCTCCTCCTCCTCCTCCTCCCACTTTGCATCTCTTCTTCTTAATCCTCCACCCCCTTCTTCTCACTCCACTCTATCTTCTCTTTCCTCCCCTACCCTCCTTTCTCTTCACCCTCCCCTCCACCTCCTCCTTCTGCTTCGCTTCCTCCCATTTCTCCCCAGCTACTCTCCTTAATCTTAGGAGACCTCAAGCCGGGGCTCACACAAGCATCGAGTCCCCCTCGGGGCCTCGGGACAAATGGGTGATGCCTGGCCATAGGTCCTTTGAAGTAGAGAACTGGGCTGTCATTACTCAGCCAGAACCTGGCCAGGAGGAGGCCACGGCCTCCAGGACACATTCCCCCGCCGGGCCTCCACCCACCGTGACCGGTTTATGGTGTCCTAGGAGGACTGTGGCTCACCTGGGGCCATGGTGGATGGGCCCTGAGGTGACGCCCTCAGAGCCTGCACTGACCTGGCCACATTCGGGAAGCGGGGGTGGGGGGGTGGGGGGCACGAGCCTTCTGTTCATAGCCTGGCCTGGCCTGGCCTATTCCCACTCAACCTGCAGATCTTGTGAGCACAACTTCAAAGAGGATCAGTGCAGAGGGGGGGGAGAAGGAGAGAGAGAGAGAGAGAGAGAGAGAGAGAGAGAGAGCATACACTAGGCCCAAGAAGGATTCTTCTTCTAAAGGTATAGATATCTGGGTGTGGGGGGGTTGTGAGGAATGGGGTCTGGGGTTCCAGACTTTCTGATATAACAGGAATGGAACTCAAAATATATATATATATATATGTATATATATAAACATCTATAGCTATATTTATATAGCTATGTATATATATATATATATATGTATCTTAAGATAGATCTATGTACATTTCCTAATAGGTCTATATTTAAAAGGGAAAAAAACAGTGTAACTGATTTTTTAATATAATTTTATTATTATATAATTTTATTAAGGTGTTGTAGCCATTTCATAAGTCAGGTAGTATTATATATATATATATATATATATAATATTGAGTATTATATATATATATTGGACTAGTAGAACCCATGATGCACAGGCTTATCCTGTGTGTGTGTGTGTGTGTGTGTGTGTGTATGTGTGTGTGTGTGTATGCATGCACCTGTGCATGTGCTACTCCTGGGGCTTGAAGTCAGGGCTTGGGCACTATTCTTGAGTTTTTTTGTTCAAGGTTGGTGTTCTACTGCTGCAGCCACAGCTACCTTTCTGACGGCTGGGTACTTCACTGGAGATAAGAGTCTCATAGACTTTCCTGCCCAGGATTGACTTCGAACTTCGATCCTCAAATCTCAGTCTCCCGAGCAGCTGGGATTACAGGCGTGAGTAGCTGGGATTACAGGCACAAGCACCAGCACCCGGCCTTATTACCATTTCAAAGAAAACACATTATGCATTTAAAATATTCCTGAGATCATTTAGACTCTGTGGCTGTACCTCACCTTCAGAATCGGGTAAGTGTCTAGGACCCAGCCTGGACTACCTCAGAGACAAGAGTGGATGGGGGCAGACAGACACACAGACTCTGGGAGTTTAAAAACAAAACAAAACAAATCAAGGGAAATGAGAAAGGGGAGGGGTTGGGGGTGGATTCCTTGTCTTGTTGAGATGCTCCGGGGGTGGATGATGAAGGTGGATTATTTAGACATTACCATGTTGAGGGAGTCTTTGTGAGCCTCGGGTTTGGGGAGGAAGGCAAGAAGGAAAGGGGCTGGAGGACTGATTTGCCTTTGGCATTTTATGGCCATGTTGTCAGATCCTCAGGGCCTGAGTGTTCACTGTCCGTGGCCCCGAGGGAAGCACAAGGCTCCAAGTTGGAAGAGAGCTGAGATTCCCAAGAGACCTTCCTTCCTGAGATTCTGTCCTTGTCTGCTTCAAAGAGGCCAACATTTCTAATAGAGGAGGTGCGTGCGCGTGTGTGCGTGTGTGTCCCATGTAATCCTCCTGTGTGTGCACATGTGTGTGCCCTATGTGTTCATCTTGTGCGTGCAGTCATCTTGTCTGTGTGTCCCATGCAGTCATTGTGTGCGCATGTGTGTGTCCCGTGCGGTCATCTTGTGTGTGTGCATGCGTGTGTCGCATGCAGTCATCTGCCAGGCAGCAGGGGGCCCCACACTGTGGAGAACCCCCCCCCCGAGGGCTGCAGTGGCCGTCCCTCCATCTGTGGCTGGGTTGTCATCCTCACTGAGCAGATGGCAGACCGCCATCGAGGTGCACCGTGGGCAGGGTGGGCTTGGAGCACTCAGTGCCGTTTCTGTCTTCCTGCCCTGCGGAAATCTCAGGCCATGCTGCACCCTCCCGGTGGCTGGTTCCTCTGGGTCCTCACCGCGGTGTCTGGTCAACGGTAGAGCTCTCGAAGTCATTGGATCGGTGATGGCAGGAGGGATGCTGATGGGTGGAGGGTTGGATGGATGGATGGATGGATGGATGATGATGAAATTATAGATGAGTGGTATGGCTGGATGAATGGGAGATGGAAGAAAGGCTAACTGGATGGAGATTTGGATGCATAGGTGATGGGCAGATGGATAATGGATGAATGATGGATAGATGGTGGATGGATGATGGATGATAGATGGGCAATGGATGGATGGGTAATGGATAGAAGGTTGGATGGCTGAATAAATGGAGAGTATGTATCATATATTACATATTATGTGATGTATATAATAGAACAATGTCTATCACGTATTGTCCTTGGGCTCACCTGGCAGAAGTGGCTGATGTGCAAAGAGATTGGGTAGAAAGGAACCAGATGTGTTCAATAAATAATTGGAAGCAGCCTGGAGAAGCTACAAGCCATTGGCTCACACCAGGCTGGAGGCCAGAGGATGCATGGTACAAAAATGGAGCTAGCATCGCAGAGCCAGCTCCTTGTGTGCCCAGGGCAGCCCAAAGCTCCTGAAGTGGGAAGGGAAGGCAGTCACTAACTCATGTCTACCCCATGACCTTCCTCTCAAAGCTTTTTTAAAAAATTACTCATCAGTCAGCTCAAGTTCTCTGCGAATCCTCTCATTTCTTATATCTCTGGCCCTCCCTCCCTCGGCCTTGGATGCACAGGGCATTGAGTCCTGCATGAAACAAGCTTGCGTCCACCACAGGACCTTTGCACTTGCTCTTCTCTCCCCGCTCCCCCTTCCCATCCTCCTCACTGCTTGCTCCTTTGTGTCATACAGAGAGTTTATGCGAGCATGAAAAAGGTGATGGCGAGGGACCGTGGAGAACATTAGTGAGCATTTTGATCAGGTCATGGCTATTAATAGAAGATCTCTGGGGGTGGTTCCAGTCAATGAGCAGACCAGCCAGACAACCGTGTCTGGAACACCCAGGCGAGACCCAAGTTCTTTTGAGCATGGAGACAGTTAAGCACCTAGGCACCCTGTGCCCTGAGCCTCGGGATGACTGGGGCTGGCACCTGGCCCGGGTACCCAGAAGTGGCGCAGTTGGTGGATGAAAAAGGGGGGAGCTGTGGCTTTGGAGAGCACTGCCATCTGACATGGTGGGAGTTTCCCAGACATCACGCCAGAGAAAGAGAAAATCCATCTCCAGATCTTACGACAAATGTCACACGTCTTCTCTCACATACAAATGCTACCTCTAAAAGACGGACCGATGGAGTGTCAGCGACTCACATCCATAATCCTAGCAATCCTAGCTGCTCTGAGGGTTGAGGTCTGGAGGATCATGGTTCAAGGCCAGCCTGGACACAAAAAAAAGTCCATTCGACTCTTAGCTCTAAACTAGCTAGCAAAAAAAAAAAAAAAAAAGAGCAAATGTATTTTGAGAATGTGCTGATTCTCTTCTCTCCTTTCATGTTTGTTCTTTATTGTCTTCTGAACTGCTCTGAACATGGTAGCTTCTTGGCAGCCTCTTCCATGGTTAAGGATGCTCTTCATTCTTACTATTTGGTCCATCCAGCATCAATCTACCTGCCAATCACTCCTCCACCCACCCACCCACCCATCCAGCCGTCTAATCATCCATCATCCATCCATCATCCATCTATCCACCCATCCATCCATCATCCATCCACCCATCTATCCATCCATCCACCCATCCATCCACCCATCATCCATCATCCATCCATCTATCAACCATATATCCAGCTATTCATCCTCTATTCATCTATCCAACTTTCTATCTATTCAACCATCCAGTCTTCTATTCATCCACCCATCTATCCATCCTCCATCCATCATACCTTCCATCTCTGTAGCCATCCACCTGTCCATCCATCATCTATCCATCCATCCATCCATCCACCCATCCATCATCCATTTACCATCTACCCATCCATTCTCCATTTATCCAAGCTTCCATCTATTCAGCCACCCAACCTTCTACCCATCTGTCATATATATGATATCTACGTCATATATTATCCAATGATATAATCACACAATCACATAACATATACTATACCTAGATATGACATGAGATGTATGTGTCCAGCAAAAATGTCTACTTTTTAGTTGGCAAAGCAAAGGAACTCGACGAAGCAAAGTTTCTGTGTTCTCTCAGGGCATTGAGTGGAGGCAGCAAAGATGCAGCAGTGCAGCTATGTGCTGGGGTGGATGGCCTTCCTCCTCCACGCCTACCAGACCAGTGGAGGTGAGTTGGGGGGTGTGTGGGGGAGACAGTCCTGAGAGGCGTGGAAACTGGGAATGGAGCCCAAGTCAAGATTTCTGGGCACACAGAGGTGGAGAAACCTCAGACCTCCCCAGGGTTTATACCCAAGATCTGAAGTCTGGGCCAAGCCATGTTATAGGCACAAGGAGTGGGAATGTAGATTTGGCCACGGGAGGGCAGGACGTGAGCAGGCCCAAGGTTGAGGGTGCATACACGCTAAGGTCAAAAAGAAGCGAAGAGGGGTGAGGCCGAGCAAACGGGGTATGGATGGTGGAGGTTTGGTTTTTTGTTTGTTTGTGGGTTTGGGTATTTTTTTTGCCAGTCCTAGGACTTGAACTCAGGGCCTAGGTGCTGTCTCTGAGCTTTTGTGCTTAAGCCTGGTGTTCTACTACTTGAGCTACAGCTCCACTTCCAGCTTTTGGGTGGTTCATTGGAGCTCAGAGTCTTATACAGAATTTCCTGCCTGGGGTGGCTTCCAACTGCAATCCTCACTTGGGAGCCTCTTGAGTGGCTGGGATTGCAGGTGTGAGCACCAGCACCTGGCTATGTAAGAATTTTTTTTTTCATTGGTGAGGCTGTGAGGGGGAAGTGTCTGTCCTCTCCTCTCTCTGCTTGCCAGGCCCCTCACCTCACTCCCAACCTATGTCAGGTCATACAGGGTGAGAATCCAACCCAGAGCAGACCTGAGGACAGAGTGCATGGTGAACTGGCAGAGGCCCCACCCAGTTGGAAGCTTATGTTTTTGTTGTTTATGTCGGTCATGGGGCTTGAACTCTGGGGCCTGGGCGCTATCCCTCAGCTCTTCAGCTCAAGGTGAGAGTTCTACCACTTGAGCCACTTCCAATTTTCTGGTGGTTCATTGGAGATAAGAGTCTCACGGACTTTCCTGCCAGGATTGGCTTTGAACTGCGATCCTCAGATCTCAGCCTCCTGAGTAGCTAGGATGACAGGCGTGAGCCACCAGCACCTGGCTAGGTTTTTTGTTTGTTTTTTTAAAATATCTAAACCCAGGGCCTTGAGCCTCTACTCTAGAGCCAACCCCCAGCCTTTTCTATTCCTATTATTCACAATCTGGTGACATATGCCTGTCATTCCAGGAGGAAAGATAAATTGGAGGATCATACTGTAGGCTCAGTTGGGTAAAAAGTGAGACTTTCTCTCAACTATAATGGGATTAAACAAAGAGCTAGAGGATTGGCTCTGGAGGCGGGCGGGTCGTGAATTGCTGGTGATTGTGGCCCTCAGCCCCGGCCACCTGTCTTTCAGAGGGCCAGGAGGCCTGTGTCTTCCCCTTCACCTACAAGGGCACCACCTTCTTTACCTGCATCCAGATCAACAGCTTCTTCCCATGGTGCGCAACCAGGGCGGTGTATGATGGCAGGTGGAAGTACTGCAAGGTGGAAGGTGAGTGGGAACATTAACAGAACACTGGAACTTTACCAATCCCTGCCTCTGTCCCCTGATTGTCCCCCTCGGCTGTGTCCCCCATGGTCTGCTGGGAAAGCAGGTAGATTTCCTAGCACGAGCAGCACAGCCACGCTCGCAGACACAGGAGAACATGTGGACAATGCTCCATTGAGCACTGAGTGCGAATGCGAGACCCGGGGTTGGTGGCTCCCGCCTGCTATCCCAGCTACTCAGGAGGCTGAGGTCTGAGGATGGCAGTTTGAAGCCATCCTGGGGAAGGAAAGTCTGTAAGACTTTTATCTCCAGTTAGCCCGCAAAAAGCTGGAAGTGGCACTGTGGCTCAAGTGGGAGAGCACCAGCCTTGAGTGAAAAAGCTAAGAGAAAATGAGGCCCTGAGTTCAAGCCCTAGGACTAGCATATGCATGCACATGTGCACACACTTGTACACACCACACATGCAAGCATATATACAAACACACAGGCATGCACACACTTGCACACATACATATACACAACATGTGCACACAATACACATGCACATGCATAATATATACATGCACATTTGCACATGCACATGCACGCAACCAGATGATATGTGCAGTGTGGGCACTTGGGTGGGGTCAGAGGCCCAGTGCTGCTCCCCAATGTGGGGACATAGGACCTGCAGGGGGTGGACATGGGGAGGGGCCTGCAGATGTGGGGCGGGGACCTGTGGAGGCGGGCCTGTGGGTATGGGGGGAGCCTGCAGAGAGGAGGGCCCTGAGGGCATGGGACAAGGCCTGTGGATGTGGGGCGGGGCCTGAAGAGTTGCGGGGGAGGGAAGGAGCTGTGGGCATAGGGTGGGACCTGCAGGGGCAGGGGGCGGGGCCTGCAGGCATGGGTGGAGCCTGCGGGCATGGGGCGGGGCCTGTAGAGGAGGAGCTGTGGCTGTGGAGTGGGGCCTACAAAGGCGGAGCCTGCGGGTGTGGGTGGAGCCTGCAGAGGAGGAACCTGCAGGCATAGGTGGAGCCTGTGGGCATGGGGAGGGGCCTGTGGAGGTGGAGCCTGTGGGTGTGGGTGGAGCCTGCAGGCATGGGGCGGGGCCTGTGGAGGCGGAGCCTGCGGGTGTGGGTGGAGCCTGCAGAGGAGGAACCTGCAGGCATGGGTGGAGCCTGTGGGCATGGGGAGGGGCCTGTGGAGGCGGAGCCTGTGGGTGTGGGTGGAGCCTGCAGAGGAGGAACCTGCAGGCATGGGTGGAGCCTGCGGGCATGGGGAGGGGCCTGTGGAGGCGGAGCCTGCGGGTGTGGGTGGAGCCTGTGGGCGTGGCGCAGGGCCTGTAGAGGCGGAGCCTGCGGGTGTGGGGCGGAGCCTGCGGGCATGGGGCGGGGCCTGTGGAGGCGGACGCGGGGGGGCAGGCGCGTGGGTCCTGGATCCCGAGGCCCAGCCCCGCCCCGCCCTGTCTCGTGTCCGGCACAGATTACCCGCGCTGCATCTTCCCCTTCGTCTTCCGCGGGAGGCCTTACGAAAGCTGCACACTGGAAGGGAGCCTGGTGCGGCGGGCCTGGTGCTCCGTCACCTCCAGCTTCGACCAGAAGCGCCAGTGGAAGTACTGCGAGACTAACGGTAAGCACCGCAGCGCGGGGCGTAAGTACTGCGAAACCAGCAGCCTCAGGAGCCAGGGTGGGAAGCATGGAGGACGCCAGACAGCACTTTCCTCCCGTCAGGGTCAGGCAGCCATCGGCTCATCCTGCCATCGCAGCTCCTCAGGAGGCTGAGATCTGACGATCGCGGTTCGAAGCCAGCCCGGGCGGGAAAGGCCGTGAGACTCTGATCTCCAGTGAATCAGCAGAAAACGGGAAGTGGCGCTGTGGCTCGCGTGGTAGAGCGCTGGCCTTGAGCTGAAGAGCTGAGGGACCGCGCCAGGCCCAGAGCGCACGCACGCATGCGCACACGGGTGGTGGATGGCAGCCGTGTCTGTCCCCTCTTTCTGACACCACCTTCCTCCCCGGTCGTTCGCAGAGTACGGCGGCAACTCCTTCAGCAAGCCGTGCATCTTCCCCTCCACCTACAGAAACAGCGTGGTCTCCGAGTGCATCGAGGACGAGGACAGCAAGCTGTGGTGCCCCACCACGGAGAACATGGACAGGGACGGCAAGTGGAGCGTCTGCGCCGACACCAGTAATGGGGGACGAAGGGCCTGGGCGGCTTCCCCCTCCCCGAGGCCTTGCTGTGTGCCATGCGCAGTAGGAGCCGCGGGAATGTGGGGTGAAGGGTGGGGGGCGGGAGAGAACACATCACCCAGCCAGGTGAGGTAGTTCATGCCTGTAATCCTGGCACCTGGGAGGCTGAGGCAGGAGGATGGGGAATCCACAGCCTAGATTTCATGGAGAGACTCAGGTCTCAAGGAAACAAAAGAATTGCATTAGCACGACTGGCTTTGCGCTGCAAGCGAACAGTCTGGATGTTATATGAAAATTGTAACGCATTTCTGGTGGCTCACGCCTGCCATCCCAGCCACTCGGGGGGCTGAGATGTGAGGGTTTCGACCACTTGAGCCACAGCCCCACTTTGGGCTTTTTGCTGCTTAATCAGAACTAAGCGTCTCACCGACTTTTGCCGTCTCAGGGTTGGCTTTGAACCGCAGTCCTATAATCAGCCTCCCAAGTAGCTGGGATGACAGGCATGAGCCACTAGCACCGACCTGGTTTTCTACCACACATCTCCCAGCGGACACCCCCAGGGAATCATGGCCTTCACCTTGTCCCCTTCTTCCCCCTAAGGAATTTCTGCCTTGTCACCGGGCTTCCCCTGCCACTTCCCGTTCAACTATAAAAACAAGAATTATTTTAACTGCACCAAGATAGGGTCAAAACAGAAGCGCTTGTGGTGTGCAACATCTTACAACTATGACCAGGACCACACGTGGGTGTACTGCTGATGCCCAGCAGGGCGGAAGAGGCCTAGAAGGTGAGGGGTGCGGGTGTGCTGAGCTTCTCTGCAAGGTAGACCCCACTTTCCAAGATGGAGCGGAGCTAGGGGAAGATTGGAACTTACAAGGAGGCAGGTGGAGGTCTGGCCTTATGAACGAGATGAAGGTGGGGCAGGGAGAATAATGACTTAAGACGGGTGTGGTGGTCCATGCCTGTAATCCCAGCACTTGGGAGGCTAAGATGGGAGGAAGGTTCTTGTGTGTTTGTTTTGTTTTTGTGCTGGGGATGGGGCTTGAATTCAGGGCCTCACACTCTGGCTTGACTTTTTTGTTTGTTCCACTCAAGGCTGATGCTCTACCACTTGAGCCACAGCTCCACTTCTGGCTTTTTGCTGGCTCATGGGAGATGACACTCTTGGACTTTCCTGCTGCCTAGGCTGGCTTTGAACTGTAATCCTCAGATCTCAGCCTTCTGAGTAGCTGGGATGGCAGGCATGAGCTATGGTGCTAGGCTCAAACTCTATTATTATTATTATCCTTTCAGAAAGAAGCCAGTCTTGGAAGAAGGCTGCCCTGGGCTCGCACCTGTGCCTTCCGGGCCTAGATGGTCACCTATAGAAACACCAAATTATCACCCTATGGGATCATACCATCTTCTGAGAAGAGCACAGACACCCAGAAAACGGCTCCCAACCTACCCCCACCCCGTACCCACCTCGCCGCTTTCTTGAAGGAGACCCAGCCTAGAGGCAGCGTGGACGCTGCAGGATCCGGGAAGAAGAGGCCCGGGATAGCGTGTGGTCAGCATCTAATCAGATCACTAATGAATAAATAAATGAGCAATGAATAAGTGAGCAAGGAGGGGGTGCGTCTGCGACCCTGGCCTTCTGTCCACCTCGTCTCCATGGCTGGAACCTGGGCAGGAGTAGGGGTGGCCCCAGCAGAGGCTGGAGGCCAAGAGGATGCCCGCACATCCACACCAGGACAGCAGAGGTGGGGCTGTGGCCTGCCCAATGGACAGACAGAAGGACAGACGGACAGACGGATGGACTGACTGTCTGAAGGACAGGCTGGGGTGGGGAGGCAGGGGGCTTCCACTGGCTCTGGTGGCCCCAGATCTGAGACCCTCCTCCCTCCTCTCTCTGTCTCTTTCTGTCTGTCTCCATTTGTCTATCTCTCTGTCTCTGTCTGTCGCTCTCCGGCTCAGTCTTTTTCTTTCTTTGTCTCTTTAACTCTTTGTCTCTTTCTCTTTGTCACTTTCTTGGGATCTCTATCTGTCTCTGTCCCTTTCTGTCATTCTCTGCCTGTCTCTTCTAGTATGTCTCTATGTCTCTATGTATCTCTGTAAGTCTTTCTATGTCTATCTGTCTGTTTGTCTCTGTCTGTCTGTCTGCCCCCCCTCCGCCTCTGTCTCTGTATCATGATATTTTGCAGGGGATTAGTGCCCTGGGATCAGCTTGCTCTAAGCCTTTATAATCCAGGTTTGTGATTTAATCCAACCTACCATCCCCCATTATCTCACACCAGGGTGATGTTGAGGTCAAAAGGGAAAAGCATAGATTGTTTTCCTGGAAGTCAGCATGATGGCCTTGAACGCCTTTTGTTTTTTGTTTTTGTTTTTCTGTGACACTATATTGAACCCTGGCCTCACACACACAGCTAGGAAAATGCTCCTCCAGCACTCCAGTTGCACTCCCAGCCCTTTTCCCTTTTGTTTATACTTTAGAGTTTGTTGTTGTTATTGTTGTTATTTTTTGAGTTAGTCTTACTACCTGTGTCAGGGCAGGCTTTCAACTCTTCATCCTCCTATTTCTGCCTCCTGAGTAGCTGGAACTACAGGTAGGTGCCACCATGCCCAGCTGAAGACTCCATGAGCCCTGTGCACATCCCAGTTTCTCAATTCCTATTGCTGGATCTGTGGCTGATGCAGCCCCCTCTCTTACCAAGGCCCCCACTCTTACCCAGTTTCTCAAGATTCCCATTGCTGGATCTGTAGCTGATGTGGCCCCCATTCTTACTGAGGGGGAAGAATCTGAGGTTGAAGCTGGCAAGAGAAGGGCAGACTCTGTGTGTGTGTGTGTGTGTGTGTGTGTGAGAGAGAGAGAGAGAGAGAGAGAGAGAGAAAGAGAGAGAGAGAGAGAGAGAGACTATTTCTTTTCTGGCCAGATTGCCCAAAAATTCCCCACAGGACTTCTCTCTGCTTTCCCACCACAGGGAAAGCAACTTGGGCAGGTCTGGGATTTAGGACTCTGAAGGAAAAGACACCATTAAGGGCTGGGAAGGTGGCTTAGTGGTAGAATGCTTTCCTAGCACACATAAAGCTGGGATTCGATTCCTCAGCATCATATACACAGAAAATGCCAGAAGTGGCGCTGTGGTTCAAGTGGTAGAGTGCTAGCCTTGAGCTAAAGAAACTCAAGAGACAGTGCCCAGGCCCTGAGTTCAAGCCCCAGGACTGGCAAAAAAAAAAAAAAAGACACCATTAAGCTTTGTAGGTTTTGGAATGGCCCTGGGCCCGAGGACCCCGTATATTCCACACACAATCTTGTCCTTCTGCATCGAGTCCTGAAGATGCCCCTTCTGGCCACCACGCAAAGTGCCTGCTGACAGTCTAAGCTCAGTCCACACTACTGCCAGGCCCCGCCCCCCTCCACCATCTTTCAGGGATCCTCCATTGGTGTTCTTTCCACATTGCTCGGGTGAGGGGACTTGTGGGAACTCCTCAACGAGACATCATCTTCACAAACTCTGCAAAGAGAACCCCCAGGGAGGTGTGTGAGGTGAGATGAGTTGCTTCCTTGCACAAAACCTGACATGGCCAGCACTGAGCTCTTAGGGATGACGAGGTCCAAGACAGATGCAGAAAATGCTTCTCAAATCTGCCTCCCAACTCCAAGTGCTCACTTGGAGAAAATCAAGGACAGGACCGGTGGCTCACACCTGTAATCCCAGCTACTCAGGAGGCTGAAATCTGAGGGTCATGGTCTCCTGCCCATGAGACTTATCTCCAGTGAACCACCAGAATACTGGAAGTGGTGTTGTGGCTCAAAGTGGTAGAGCACTAGCCTTGTGCAGAAAAGCTTAGGGACAGCACCCAGGCCCTAAGTTCAAGCCCTAGGACCAGTGAGTATGCACGCATGTGCATGCACATGCACACTCGTACCGGGACAGGGTGACTTGTGAAGTCACGCAGGAGTTACAAGTGGATTTCAGGTTGGTTCACCCTCTGATCACCTTCAAAGTCCACGGTGCCGTCGCCATTGATGTCAGCTTCCTGGACCACCTCAGCGATCTCTCGGGGGGTCAGCTTCTCCCCCAGGAGCCTCTGCATGGCCTGCTGCAGCTCCCCCAGTGTGATCTCCCCATCTCCGTTGGCATCGAACTGGACACAACCAGAGGGCTGGGTCAGGAGCAGCGGTGGTGGCAAAGGTGGCCCTGAGTTCAAACTCCGGGGCCAGCACACAATATAAACAGGAGTGTACACCCATATATACCCGCACGTAACACACACGTGTGTGTGCACTCATGTACATACCACCACACTCATGTACATCCCCATGTGTGCACAAGCATACACACCCAACACACCTGGGCACACATGTGCACCCCTTCCCCCACTCGCTCACTTCCTTGAAGGCGTCCCGCATTTCCTGCACGCCGATCATGCCCGCTGTCTCTGCCAGCAGCTTGGGGGTCATCAACTCCACGAAGTCCTCAAAGTCCACGCGGCCACCCACTGGGGACAGCAGAGGCGAGGTCAGAAGGGTTCTGTGCCTCAGTCTTCTGTCCCTTCGCTCTGCCCTTCAGGGCAGTTTAAGAAATAGCTTCCAGGACTGGGAAGGTGGCTCAGTGGTAGAGTGCTTGCCTAGCATGCATGAAGCCCTGGGTTCGAGTCCTCAGTATCACAGGCACAGAAAAATCCAGAAGTGGCGCTGTGGCTCAAGGGGTAGAGCACTAGCCTTGAGCACAGAGAGGCTCGGGGACAGTGCCCAGGCCCTGAGTTCAAGCCCCAGGACCAGCAAAAAAAAAAGGAAAAGCTCCCATCTTCTTGTCACTGCATTCTTGTGTTTTTTTTGGGGGGGTAGCTCGAGGGGGAGGAGGAACCAGTCCTGGGACTTGAACTCAGGGCCTAGGAGCTGTCCCTGAGCTTTTATACTGAAGGCTGGCGCTCTACCACTTTAAGCCACAGAACCACTTCTGGCTTTATTTTTGGTGATTCATTGGAGAGAAGAATCTCAGCTGTCAGATCTCAGTCTCCTGAGTAGCTGGGATGGATTACAACGCCTGCCCTCCAATCCCACCCTCTGTGACCCCCCCCCACACCCCCGCCCCTGGTCTCACAGTTCATGCGGATTTGCTGGCCCAGCTCGGTGAGCTCCATCTCGGTGGGCATGTAGCCCATCGTCCGCATGAGATTCCCCAGGTCCTTGTACGAGATGAAGCCGTCCCGGTCCTTGTCAAACTCCAGAAAGGCTTCCCGGAGCTCTGCAGGTTCAGGGAGAAGAATGGGGTGGTCACAAGCACAATCAGAGGGGATTTTTTAATTTTTCAATGTTGAAAAAAAATGGTGACATTGCCTAGGATGCATTATGTTTCACAGTGGACATGCTGTATTAAAACCCCTTAGTGTAACTACTTAAGGATCAGAAAAAAGAAAAACAACAATTGTCTTTCAGTCATGGGGCTTGAACTCTGGGCCTGGGCACTGTCCCTCAGCTCTTCAGCTCAAGGCAAGCACTCTACCCCCTGAGCCACAGTGCCACTTCCGGTTTTCTAGTCGTTCATTGGACATAAAAATCTCATGGGCTTTCCTGCCCAGGGTTGGCTTTGAATTGCAATCCTCAGATCTCAGCCTCCTGGGAGCTAGGATGACAGGCGTGAGCCACTAGTGCCTGGCAAATAAATCGGTTTTGTAGAACAAGATCTACAAACCTGCAGGTGAGAAGAGAGAGACAGAGGGATGGGAGATTTTCCCAGGAAGGACTTTACACTGAGATGGAGGAAAGACTGAGCAGCGGACATCTGAGCGGGGAGGGTTTACCTTCAATCTCATCTTGCCCCAGGGGTCTCTCCTGGAAAGAAGGCAGGGGAGGAATATGGAGAATCAGAAATCCCAGCTCACCTTTTTCCTGCTTCTATCATTCTTCCTCCTGCCAACCCCCCCTCCCCCCTTCCCAATCCCCTCCCTGGCATTTCCTCGTCCCCCATCTTTGAGTCCCCAATCCCTCCCTCTGCCTTTCCCAGGCCAACAACTCTCCTTGCACTGAGTGGATCAAAGACCCGGTGGAGTCGGAGCCTCCCTTCCAGACGGCCTCTGCCCTCTGGCCTCCCCAGGGCTGATAAAGGCCACTATGCCTGCCTCACAGCAGGGAAGGCAGGGTAGAGGGCTGAGGGGACTCACCACAGATTGCCCTCTTCTTAGACCAAGCCCAGGCCAGAGAACCCCATGGTCCTGACACCCAGCCACCGCTGTCCCCTTGGTGTCCCACTGGGTTCCTCAGACTACGTCTGCTCCCCAGGCCTCAGCCCCCGAGTGGGATTAGTGTGCATGGCACCCAGAAACCTCGGGCAACTTCCAGCCATCAGTGCTCTGGCTGCTTCTGGCACCACAGGGGCTGGGCCTCCAGACCTACTGGCCCCCAAGAAATTCTATAGATCCTTCCTTCCTTCCTTCCTTCTTTCCGGTCTTCCTTCTGTATTCCTTCTTTCCTGTCTCCTTTCTGTCTTCCTTCCTTCCCTCCCTCCCTCCTTCTTTCTTTCCTTCTTTCCTTCTTTTCTTTCTCTCCCTCCATGTCCTTCTTTCCTTCCTTCCTTCATTCTTTCCTTCTTCCTGTCCTTTTTTTCCTTCCTTTCTTCTTTCTTTCCCTCCCTCCTCCTTCCCTTTTTCCCTTCCTTCCTTCTTTCCTTCCCTCCCTCCATGTCCTTCTTTCCTTCATTCCCTCCCTCCTTCCTTCTTCCTGTCCCTTCCTTCCTTCCTTCCTTCCTCCTTCTTCCTGTCCCTTCCTGCCACGCCGACTCCAGTGGAGTCTGCTTAGCATGGGAAACCATCTATCAGACCATGATAGGGGCTTCAGAGACCTATCTCTGAGTTTTGGGACTTCACTGGAGTCTACCTCAGAGAATGGGGCTTTACAGAAACCTATCTCCAAGTTTTGGGACTTCACCGAAGTCTACCTCGGAGAATAGGGCTTCTAAGAGGCCTACTCCTGGGAAAAGGCTGGCAAAACCCCTGGAAAAGATGTGCTTCTGCCTATCTTTTCCTCATAAGAGTGCCTATTAATCTTTTACTGTTTCTACTGCTCTTTGTACTTGCTCATTGTCAACGTTTCCCTATACAAAGCTCTTTCTTAAGAGTGTTGACGACTCCAATATCTGATGAGTGTCTTAAAAATATGACTAACTCACTGGAGTTAAGTGCTACCCTGAAACCCCTCTTATAGAGGCTAGTAGACAAGCCATAAGCAAATATAAAAGTATTGGGGGTTTCACGAAGTCACTTCAGCAGAAGGAATTGTTTGTAAGAAACTTACAAGAAGCTGTAGGGCAACTAGAACAGAAGGAATGTATGGCAATTACTGAGATAACTACTTAGGAGAAAAAACTTCCTACTACTCTCTCATTTACTAAGAGACTTGCTAGATCTAAGTCTCCTTGGTGCTTATTATTAAAGAAGGAACAGGAAGGAAAAATCCTATGGGACAATTAAGGCCTCTATAAAAATAAGATAATGGTTAAATGGTGACAAACGTCGAAACCCATTATATTTCTTAGAGATAAGCCGGAAACAAGTGCCTTTCAGGCTACCAGCTGTTGACCACCCAAGAATGAAGCCCTGCAGCAAGATTGTGTAAACTTTTGCCCTTTCAGGCGACCAGCTGGTGACCATCCAAGAACGAAGCCTTGCAGCAAGATTGTGTAACCTTTTGCCCTTTCTTATGGTATCCTCTGCATTAAATCGCACTCAGCACTCAGCACTCAGCATCCACTCCTAATGTGTGTGAGTTGTCTGTTTGCCATCTCCCCATCCTATTCCAGGTTCCTCCCCTAGGTGTTCTCCATCGTCCCGACAGAACCCGGTCCGCGGCACCTTCCTTCCTTCCTTCTTTCCTTCCTTCCTTCTTTCCTTCCCTCCCTCCCTGTCCTTCTTCCTTCCTCCCCTCTCTGCTTCCTTCTTCCCTCCCTCCCTTCTTTCTTCCTTTCCTTCTTTCCTTCCTTCCTTTCCTTCCATCCTTTCTTCTGTCTTTCCCTCCCTCCTTTCTTCCCTCCCTTCCTTCCCTTCCTCCTTTCTTCCTTCTTCCCTTCCTTCCTTCTTTTCTTCCTTCCTTCCTTTTTTCCTTCCTTCCTCCTTCCCTCCTTTCCTTCCTTCCCTCCTTTCCTTCCTTCCTTCCCTCCTCAGATAGAATTCAGAGTTTATTTATGCAAAAATTCTACCACATAACCCACACTCCAGACCCCTTTTTTTTTGCTTTGATTCTGTTCCAGCTAAGGCCTTCCCAACACACCTGCCTTAGTCTTTGAGATGGGGGAAGGCGGAGGTGATCTTGCTAACATTTTTCCTAGGCTGGCTTCAAACCATGATCCTCCCAATCTCTGCCTTCTGAGTGGGTGGGATGACAGACCAGCCAACCGTACTTGGCCAGCCCCTGTCCTCCTTGCACTGACTCTCTTTGTGCTCGGAGCCTGGCCCCAGCTCTCCGGCCTTTCTGTCTCCCACACCATCCCATCCCTCCTCCTTCCTTTTCCTCTCTTTTTCAGGGACCTCAAAGCTTCACCTGGGATACAAACCAACCTTGTCCTGCTAATCATGCATTGCATAAGCTCAAAGCAAAGACTTCATGACTCAGTCCCCCCTCCCCCAGTAGAATGGGAGTGAAACAATCGCCAAGTTCAGGAGTTGTTCTGTAGGAACAGAAAACCCAGGGCCAGGCCAGGCGGCAGGGCCATCACTACCATGGCGACATCTCCATGGGGACACTACCATGGCCCCCTATTCCCCCCACTTGGTGTTCCCCTGCGGTCCCCTCCCCGGGTCTCCTCACCCGGTGCTTCTCTGCGATGCCCTTCCTCAGGAAGATGCAGGCGGGGCCCATGGGGATCTGCATGGAGGATGTGCGGGCTGGGCGGAGGCTGCGGTCCAGGGCGATCCTCCTTCCCGCTGGCCTCTGCTGGCCTGGCTGTATGGGTCCCTGTGTGACAGAACTGTGACAGCTGGGTGAGAAATCTCAGGGCAGGATCAGAGCCCTGGCCTCCCCATCTGGCTAGAAGGAGGATGGGGGCGGGGGAAGGGGGTGGAGGCAGGGGAGCCAGTGTGAGGCTAGGAGATTCTTTTATCCCCAGGATGGAATTGGGGAGCTTGTACAGAAATGATAGGGATTAGAGCGAGGGTGAGGGCACATCCCCATTCACCCCACCTCTCTGAAGCAGCCATGTTCCGCTCAGCCTAGCCTTTGGGCCACAAAAGATGGACAGGATCAGACCTCTGGCCTCAAAGAACCATGACTCAGCCAAGTGGTGTGAGTGTGCTTCCCTTCACTGCCCAGCCCTTCCCTTCTGCTTTGTGTGTGTGTGGGGGGGGTGTTCCCATCCTGGGGCTTGAACTCAGGGCCTGGGCGTTGTCCATGAGCTTTTATACTCAAGGCTGGTGCTCTACCACTTGAGCCACAGCTCTACTTCTGACTTTTTGGTGGTTCATTGAGATCAGCATCTCATGGACTTTCCTGCCTGGCTGGATCCTCAGATCTCCGTTTCCTGAGTAGCTGGGATTACAGGCATGAACTACTGGTACCCAGCTTCTCTTCTGGTCTTCCTGGATAATTTAGAGGGAAGAGCAACGTGGCAGAGGAGGATAGGGGGTGAAGCACAGAAGTGTGAGGAGGGTGTCCATGCTGAGGGGGGGTGTGGGGGGGAGTGGAGGGAGCAATCTGACATGGGAGGAACCATATTCCCACTCAGGGTGACAGCCCTGAGGGTGCTGTGCTCTGGACATGGTTTCAGTGTTGAGGGCCATGTTGGGAACTTGGTCCTCAGTGATGTGGAGCTCAATGGGAGATCAACAGAGGTGCTGCCCCCTGGGGGTGGTAAATACACTTCCATGGGGACACCCCTGCTTAGTTTCTAGAGGAGTCACACTGTCAAGGGCCCCACACTGGATGGGGCCTCGGTGGTGAAATAGGAAGCAGAGGCTAGGTGGGCCCAGGCTTGTGGCCCTGGTTCTGTGCAACTCTGACTCCACCCCTTCATTTCCCAACTGCTGGGGAGTGGTGGGAGGAGGTGCTTGGCCTAGCACATGGCCTGGGTGCTGGGGCCGGTCCACCATGAAGCTAGCAGCAAGTCCCGCAGGTGGGGAACCCAAGGGGGCAAAAAATCCGTGAGAACCCAAAGGAATTAACGGAGTAGGGGAGCAGGGGGCAAAAAACACCACGACGCCAAAGGAAAGATGATTATGAACTAGCTTTAATTAGCTTTTCGTCACAGCATCCTGAAAGCAGAGGTGGGGCTGTGTGAGAGAAGCAAGGGGTGTTGGATTTAGGAGGGGGAGGGGCTTGGGAGGGGAGAGGGTTCTGGGTTTGGGGTGGGGGGGAGCTGGGTTGGGAGGGGGGAGCTGGGTTGGGAGGGGGATGGGGGTCTGAATCAGGGCTCCTGGGCCCAGATGTTCTTGGAGCGCTGCTGAGAGGCGTTAGGATGACTTAGAGCAGGATCTGGAGAGGAAGAGAGGGAGAAAAAGGACTTGGACATTTTTCTTTTGGGCACAGAACTAGGGATGGAACCAAGTCGATCAAACATGCCAGGCGAATGCTTACACTAATTCACACACACACACACACACAGGTCTATTTGTATTGTGTGTGTATTGGGAGAACCTGTGGGGCGGGAAGTCCCGCTCTACGCTGATGTCACTGCCATGCACGCCAGGCCGCTGGGGGGGCCGGATGTCAAAGGGTGGCTTGGGAGGAGGGGCTTCGGGGGAGGAGATAGAGAAGAGAAAGACACAAGAGACACGTGGGGAGAGACCAGTCCCCCAGAGCTGAGCAGTACCTTACTCTCCTCAACCCAGAGGAGAGCCTGGGCCAGCCTGAATGGAGACCTGGGCCGGCCAAGAGGCCTAAGGAGATCCAGGCTGGCCTGAGGGCAGATCCCGGCTGGAAGAGAGTCCTGAGGAGACCCAGGCCAGTGGAGAGGCCCGGGGAAGCCTGGGACAGTCTGAGGGGAGACCTTGGCCCAAAGAGGCCTAGGGAAGCCCGGGCTGGCCTGAGAGGAGACCCGGACCCATGGAGAGGCCTGGGCCTGCCTGCCAGGCCCAAGGACACTCTTTCTGGCAGAGAGGCCTGGGACCTAGGCTGGCCTGAGGACAGACCCAGGCTGGAAGAGAAGCCCAGGGAAGCCAGGGCCAGCCTGAGAAAAGACCTGGGCCAGAAGAGAGGTGGAAAGGCCTGTGAAGAGCCAGGAGGCCCGCAGAGTTGGAGAATCAGAGGCCTATGGGAAAGAGTCAAAAGGAAAAAATAAACTTGCCCCCTTGGAGGTTGCAGCTACTCCTAGTTCTGAGGTAACTCAAGACAGGGTTGCAGATGAACTAATAAAATTCCCTTGTCGGGGCTGGGAAGTTGGTTCAGTGGTAGAGTGCTCGCCTTGCATGCTTAAGGCCCTGGGTTCGATTCCTCAGCACCACATAAGCAAAAAAAAAAAAAAGCTGTGGCTCAAGTGGTAGAGTGCTAGCCTTGAGCTGAAGAGCTGAGGGATAGCACCCAGGCCAAGAGTTCAGGCCCCACGACCGGACCCAAAAAAAATAAAATAAATAAAATTAAAAAAAATAAAATTCCCTTGTCACCTTTAGCTGTACCTCCATGGGTTTTCTCACTCACGGGTTATTACAGTGTGTGTGTGCATACTGGTACTGGGGCTTGAACTGAAGGCAGTGAACTCAACCCAACTCAAAGGGCCAAGTTCCTATGTGAAAACCACAACTACAGTGAATGGGCTCAGTGAGTGGAGTGCAAGGCTCTGAGTTCAAGTCCCATTACTGTGGAGAAATAAGAAGCAGCCCACGTGGAGGTGTGTCTCAAGTGGTAGAGCACCTGCCTTGAGGGGAAAAACAAAAACAAAAACACAAAGCTGAGTAAGAGTAGAAGGCCCTGAGTTCAAACCCCAAGCCCCAGTACTGGCACAAAATAGCAAGCAAAGGCTAGTGCTAGTGGCTCACACCTGTCATTTTAGCTACTCTGAGGATTGTGATTCAAAGCCAGACCAGCAAGGAAAGTCCTTGAAACCCTTATCTCCAATGAACCAGCAAAAAGCCAGACGTAGGGCTGTGGCTCATAGAGTGCTAGACTTGAGTTAAAAAAAAAAAAAAAAAACAGTTCAGGGACAGCACTCAGGCCTTGAGTTCAAGCTCCAAGACCAGCACAAAACAAAACCAACCAAGTTCTCCTCTGACAGATGATTTCTTGTAAGCACAGGGGGAGGAGCCATTCTGGACCCATACCTATTCCATCATCTCCTTGATCGTGTCAAGGATTTTCTGCTTGCTGTTCCGCACATTTTCTTTGGCCTTGTCCAGAAGATCCTGCACCAGCTCCAACGTGTAGGTGTCAGAGATTTTGAACGTGCCGTATTTATTTCTCCAAGCCTCAATATCATCTACATTAAAGTGGGAGGGACAATGTCTCCTCAGTAGGATGGACAACAAGGCCTTCCGATGGTGTCCATTTAAACTGGAGACTGGTATATAGTTCTGAGGACCAAACCGATCTGGCCCCTACTTCACAAATCAAACTTCCATTATGACTAGCTCTATATTCATAACCCAAAGTGCCTGCCTCCACCTGAGGGGTGAGCCCATTTTCTATGTTGGTCTGTTGAGACTCAATTATTAACCATGGTGGGCAGACACAGAGCAGGTGGCCCAGAAAGATGCATGACATAAAAGGCAACCATAGGCATGCTCATCTCCTACTGGGGGTCTCTCAGGAGTCTGGAGGAGAGGAGGCCATGGGGTGGGGGAGGGCAGGTAGAAGAAGAACTTGCCTCTATCACCTGTTCACCTGGAACCTCATGTTGAAGGTGGAAGGGGGGGACAATCACAGGCAGAAGAAACACATAAGATGGGGGAACCAGATGTGGATGAGGTGGAGGAGGAAGGCATTCTGCTCTCTGACCTTTACATGTTGAAGGTCGACCAGATGTCCCCAAGGCATAGCACAACCCTAGAAGCCAAGCAAAGGTCTTCTCACCTTTGCAGTTGCATTGGTTAAAGAGGGGGAAATGCATCACAGTGGGTCCAGTGTCCCCCTTGAAGATGTAGCAGCTATCAGGGGCCTCAGCACACTGCTTCAGCTTGGCCTTGTCCACAGGGGGGAAGGGGATCCCATGCTGCTTGCAATAGTCAGCGGTAGCCAGGACAGTCTGCAAGAGGGGGCCACATGGACCTGAGTCAGGGGTGGTCCTTCAGTTCCCTGAGGCTTGTGGCCCTCACTGGAGCCTCAGGGAAAGAGTTCAGATCCACAGCAGAGTTGTGGGGAGTGGGCTAGGAAGTGGGGTTCATGTTTCTTGCAACAGATCACATCCCCCAGGTTCTGTGGGACGATGCTGAGTGTCCACAGGCCTGGCCCCATGGGACCAAGGGCTAATTATCTCCATGGAGCAGAGACAGACCAAGCTACTGTGGGTGTAGAGGCAGGACCCCAACAGTGGCAGAACTCCTGCCTGGAGGAGGGGTCCAGGAAGGCCCTGGCTGGCTGGACTTAGGTTTAGGCTGTTGGGATGGTGATATCAAGATCCCTTCAGACCTGATGATGAGGGGATTTACTTTCTGGGCCCTCAGCCAGCACCTCTCCACCAGCCTTCTGCCTCTACCCAGGCCCAGATCCCTTCTCAGACTGTTCCCTGTTACCTCGAAAGGGTCCCCAGCGCTGAAGTCGAAGGAGAGGATGAGCTGGATGTCCCGTGCCGGGGGCAGGACGAGGGGATAGGCACTGTTGATGGCCAAGCCAGCATCCACCAGGTGAAGGAGCTTCCGGTTACACATCTCCTGGGCTATCTTGTCATTGGCGGAGACTAGGAGGAAGCATCTTGGTGATTCTGTACCCCCAAGATCTATGCTAAGACCGGAGCCTGGATATACATGAACGGCTTTGTGCATAAACAGAGCCAGACAACCTCCTGCCCAGCCAGAAATGCCACAAGACAAGCAGGGTGGGGTGGGGGAGGGAAGGAAGGGGAGGGCTGAGGTCCAGCCAGCGTTCAACCCTGCTGTGGTTTGGGTGTATCATGACTGTGACTCCCCCAAAAAAGAAATAAGTCTCATGTCCTGGAAGCTTGATCCCCAGGGCAGGGGAGAGGGGGTGGAAGCACCCGAAGAGCCTGCATTGGAAGGGACTTGAGCTGGTTGGTGGAGTGGATTAGCTTCTGGAAAAGCAAGCTGCTCATGTCACCCACCAAACCCTTTCTGCACATTGCTGTCTCTTTTTCCGCTGCTTTGCTGTTTTATCCAAGGAGACCCTCACCAAAAGCCAAGCGGACAGGGGGCACCCAATCTTAAGACTTTCAACCTCCACATAGAAATGGAGGAGGGGGGACAAAGGGTGAACAAATGCAACAGTGGAACTCACTAGACACTATGGAAAATGAACTGCTATACAACTTGTGGGTGGGGATGGAAGGGAAAAACTGGGAGGGAGCAAGAGAAGGGGTGACTATAATCCCTCTGTACCTCACCTTCATAATAAGAAAAAAAAGAAGACTTTCAAACCTCTTTTCTTTATAAAGTCTTTTGTTATAGAAACACAGCACAGACTAATGCGGTTTCTCAAGCCGTGCCCAGCCTTGACCCAGTGGGACAGTTTGGCATTGCACCTTTTGTGGAATAAAAGCAACAAGGCACCAGACTCAAATTGCCCAGGTTCCTCTTATCACAAACCAGGGTGCAGGGCTTGGCAGGGCCTTCAGAGGCATGATTGTCAGCTGTGAGAACAATGGAGATTGTAAATGGGCCTTAGGACACTCTAGAGACCAGAGTCAATTCTCTCCTGACAAACAGGTCAGCTAATGAAAGAAAAACTACCCCACAAAGACAGATTTGAGGGCTTGCCAACAAGGAATTCAGATTGAGGACAGAGAAAAAAATGCCCATTCTTCAGGGATTGGGCCTTTCCAATGTCAGGACTACCTGCCCTTTGGGGATTGGTCCTTTCCAATATCAGGAACCACCCACCCTTCAGTGATTGGGCCTTTCCAATGTCAGGAACCACCCACCCTTTAGGGATTTGGCCTTTCCAATGTTAGGAACCACCCACTCTTCAGGGATTGGGTCTTTCAGATATAGGAACCACCCATCCTTCAGAGATTGGGCCTTTCTTGATGGTATCAATCAATGCCAATGAAGCCTCAGGTCTCTATTAAGCAACCCCACCTGAACCTGGCCACCTCCCCCATCCCCCCAGGGAAGCCACTCCATTCAGACCCATCCAGGAAGTCCTGCTACCTGCTACCTGGATCCCTTAAACTCTCAACCCAACAAGAGACAGGGAGAAGGCTTCCTCACCACCTTCATGGAGGAAGTTGTAAACTGTCCCCCATTCCCAATTCCAAAAGCACGCTATGGTTTTGTTCAGAAAAGATACAGTGTCCATCCATGATCCTAGAGAGAGAAATGGATAGGGCTAAGGTGAGTGTCATGGATTAAATATCTCCCAACCCCCCCAATCTAACCCCAAGGCCCTCAGGGGAAGCTCTGAAATACTGATGGGGGGCAGGGAGGGGAACTGGATGTGGACACAACACCTTTAGGTAGAAGAATGTAGGCTGATCCTAACTTAGAATGTGGTCCTAGCCGGTGCTGGTGGCTCATGCCTGTAATCCAAGCTACTCAGGAGACTGAGATCTGAGTGTCATGGTTCAAAGCCAGCCCAGGCAGGAAAGTTTGTGAGACTCTGATCTCCAATGAACCACTCAGAAAACCAGAAGTGGTGCTGTGAGTCAAGTGGTAGAGCAGTAGCCTTGAGCTGAAGAGCTGAGGGACAGCACCTAGGCGCAGAGTTCAAGCCCCATGACTGACCAAAAAAAAAAAAAATGTGGTCCTGAGCTGGGCTCTGAGTGGCTCACGCCAATAATCCCAGCTACTCAGGAGGCTGAGATCTGAGAATTGTGGTTTGAAGCCAGCCTGGTTAGGAAAACCTGTGAGAGTCTTATCTTCAATAAACTACTCAGAAAAAGCTGGAAGTGGTGCTGTGGCTCAAGTGGTAGAGTGCTAGCCTTGAGCAAAAGGAGCTTAGGGACAGTGCTCAGGCCCTGAGTTCAAGCCCCAGGACCAGAAAAAAAAAAGTATGTGGTCCTAACTCAGGACTTAGGAGCAAGATTTAGGAGTTGGGTGGGACAGGGGGAGAGGGGAGAAGGGCACAGGGATGGGTGGCCACCTATCTGCAGGCCAAGGACAGAGGCCCTGACCTAAGACTACAGCCGTGGGACCCTAGAAAATACAGGTTGACTGGGCGGGGGGTGGGCGGGGTGGGGGGGCACGGGAGGAATGGGGTAGGTCATATTCAGTTAGGTTAGGTTCAGGAGAGATAGCGAACTCTTCCTAAGTTCAAACCCCAGCACCACCGAACAACAACAACAAACATTGGACTCATTCCTGAAATTGGATAACAGACAAACCAATAGATTGGTTTTACCCAAGTAAATGTGCATTCCTGCAGAGAGAGTTGTGCATTTGCTGGCAGGAAGGCCTTTGTGTGTGTGTCTGATCAAACACCGGGCCTTGGGTTTTGTTGTTGTTTTGTCAGTCATGAGGCTTGAACTATGGGCCTGGGCACTGTCCCTCAGCTTTTCAGCTCAAGGTGAGTGCTCTACCACTTGAGCCACAGCACCACTTCTGGTTTTCTGAGTGGTTTATTGGAGATAAGAGTCTCACAGACTTTCCTGCCCAGGCTGGCTTTGAATCAGGATCATCAGATCTCAGCCTCCTGAGTAGTTAGTATTACAGGCGTGAGCCACTGGTGCCCTGCTTCCTTGGGTTAGTTTTTAAGGGAGGCTCAGAGGTTGGCAGGAGTGGAGGCGGGGTGACAGGCAGTGGCCATAGAAAGCAGTTGTCTGTGCTGTCCCTCATCTGTACCAGCCACTCTCCAAACTTCTCTCCCCTCTGTCTATCTGTTTGGCCTAAGTGGGACTGGCCTCTCATGCGTCTGCCTCAATGGATCTACTATGTATTGTTTCCACGGGGATGTGGACATCTGTTCCCCTCTGTGTCCCCCAGCCTTGTTGCCATGTTAGCAACTCAGGATGTCCCAGATGTGAAGAGGGGACACACAGCCGGATGGGAGCCTGGTGGCTCACGCCTTTAATCCCAGCTACTCAGGAGGCTGTGATCTGAGGATTGAGGTTTAAAGCCAGCCGAGGCAGGAAAAAATCCACCAGAGACTCTTATCTCCGATGACCCACCAGAAATCCAGAAGTGGAGCTGTGGCTTAAAGTTGCAGAGTGCTAGCCTTGAGCAAAAGAGCTCAGGGGCAGCGCCCAAGCCCTGAGTTCAAGCCCCAACATGGCCACACATACAAAAAGGGACAGTTGGTTGCCCCCCAGTAGGCTCCCCTCCCCTGTGGGGCTGAGAGAGGGGAAGAAAGAGGATGGGGGGCACTTACCCAGGCTAATGTACTGGGAAGGCTGCCTTCTTAGCTGTGTCAAAGAATGTACCACTAACTGTAGGAACTGGCCTTGCTCCTCCTCAGACATGGTCTCCCACTTCAGCATCTTCTCCGCATATTCAGGCCCATCCTCTGTCCCCAAGAAACAGAGATGATTGGGGACAGACTAGGGTCCAGGTCACCAGCTCCAACCCTCGCCCAAGCCTGCTCTACTTCATCTCCCATGATGCCCCAGCTCCTCCTCCTGCCATGGGGGCCTTCTTCAGGCTCCCTTCCCCTTTTCCCCAGCACAGAAGTCTTGACTTTCCTCTCTCCTCTGCCTGCTCCTGGGCCTCGAGACCCCACTCACTTCTCAGTGCTTAGCACCAAGGCCACATTTCTAGAAGGGTCTATGGATTCTTTATCATCATATGGATGGAGAACTATGGGGGGGCACAGAAAAATCACATGCCTCCCTTATATAACCTACAGCAACAAGCAGCAACCCACAGACCACCTCCCATCCCCTGTTGGGCACACAAGCCCATCTTATGCACAGATCTACTGCATGTGGCTTTGACTACAGATGTTGGACAAATTTGGGCTAGCCACGCTTCCTCCCCTCCCCACCCCCCCAGTCCTCCTATCCTTTATTTACGCTTTCCCTTTGGGTCACCCTCAGACCATGCCTTCCTGCCCCCGCCATCTCTGTCTCTGCCCCCATGGGCCTCCAAAGTCTCAAGCCAGTGCACAAACCTGGGATGGCATTCAGGGCCTGACTCAGAGCCTGGATCATCTCCGGAAGGCCCGGCGCCTTTGGGTCTGTTTTGTAAGTCACCAGGAAGTCCAGGAGCAAACCTTCTACGTCTAACGCTTCTCTAGCTATCTCTGTTAAGACGGAAGAGATTCTCCCGGTGAGGACACCCAGAGGCCATCGCCAGCTCGCCCCTGCCCCCTCCTTGGGAGGTGGCTGAGGGACACTCCCTCCCTGCCCTGCTTGCCCAGGATTGTCTTGGCTGAGACCAGAAGCCCAGCAACCTCCCTCAGTTAGGTCAGAGCTCTCGGGACCAGGCTGGGAACTCACCCCTACCCAGGGTTCCCCCTCTTCTCCTTATCTCTACCTAGCTTCCCCCTCCTCCCCTCACCCCTGCCCAATTCCTCCCCCCTCTTCCCCTCCCCCCTGCCCAATTTCTCCCTCTTCCCCTCACCCCTGCCCAATTTCCCCTTCTTCCCCTCACCCCTGCCCAATTTCTCCCTCTTCTCCTCACCCCTGTCCAGGGTCCCCTCTTCCCCTCACCCCTGCCCAATATCTTCTTCCTCCCACCCCTGCCCAACTTCCCCCTCTTCCCCTCACCCCTGTGCCAACCCCTCCCTTCCCCTTCACTCTCTTCCCGTTTCCTTCTAGGGACCCAGACACCAGGGAGAGCGAGTGCCACACTGCCCGGGCCCCTTCCCAACCTGGGACACTGAGCGTATATTGACTGATCTCTTCTTCATCATTCCTTTCCAGACCTGTCCAAAACAAACCAAACTGATAAACAAACACCTTTCAGTCCATCACCATCACAAAGACCCAAACTCACAAAGAGGCTGAGGGTGGGAGCGCCCATCCCTGCATGAGACCCCAGAGGCGGTGCAGCCGCCCTGCCGTGCTGCCTGGCCTTTTCCTTTCTTTCTTTATTGGGCTCTAGTTATCTTGCAGATAGGCTATTTTGTTGTTTGGCCAAGCTGCCCCTGGGATCATTAACGTAGTCCTGTGATGAGGGCACAGGGCCATCCATGAAGGCAGAGCCCCGCCTCCCCCATGCCTAGCCTCTGTCAAAGACGGCCTGTGTGCAGCGCATGCGTGCTGAGGTGCACATGCACAGTGGTTCTGAATGCAGTGTGAGAAGCAGCCCACACTGGCAGGGCAGCAGGCAGCACCGAATGAGTGGCCGCCCGTGACACTGGACTCCATCTCCCTGAGCAGGACGCTTACCTCTCTTGGATGAGCGCCAGAATTTATCTTTCAGGCTCAAAATCATATCTGCAAGACAGCAGAGGCGGGAGAGTGTGGATGTGCACAGTACAGCCCCCAAGTCACCCGGCCCAGTATTTCTACAGCAACCACAAACACCTCTGGTCATACTGACTGAACAGATGTCAGGATGGGCTGGAGATGACCCCATTTCAGCTCTAAGATCTGACCTTGTACTTTTCTTCCAATCCTGCCTTGAGGAAACTACCATTTTTAACTCAAAATGGTCAGTGGCGGGCGCATTTATGCCACGAGAATCGGCCATCACTGCCAAGCAAGAGCGCAAAGCATACCCACAAGGGAAAGAGGGGGCCAGGCTGGAATGAGACAGATTCTCCTGTTAGAATTGGTTTTTTAGCCAACAGCTGGCAAATATGGTCACCAAAGAACACTGTTAAGCCAAGTGTGATAGTGCATGCCTTTAATTCCAGCACTCAGGAGGCAGAGGCAGGAGGATGGTGAATTTGAGGCCAGCCTGGTCTATAAGAGTGAGATTTGGTCTCAACAAATGAGGGGAGGCGAGAGGAGAAGGAAGGGGAAAAGGGAAAGAGGGGAGAGAGAAGGGGAAAAGAAAGGAAAATGGCTGGGCACCTGTGGTGCATGCCTGTAATCCTAGCTACTCAGGAGGCTGAGATCTGAGGATCAAGGTTCAAAGCCAGCCTGGGCAGGAAAGTCTGTGAGACTCTTATCTCCAGTGAACCACCAGAACACCGGAAGTGGTGCTGTGGCTCAAGTGGTAGAGCGCTCGCCTTGAGCTGAAGAGCTGAGGGACAGCGCCCAGGCCCAGAG